CACGAAACTGTCCCCTGGGCTCCCTCTCTCCTATTTAATGTGGGATTCTGAACTGAATTCTCAACTGAATTCAACTCTTCTAGCAAACATTAAATCAAAAAAAGACCAGCAGGGGGCACCCTCCCCCCGGCCTGGCTCTGCAGGTGAAGGGGTTTCGAGGAGCTTTCCGCTCTCCACTTGGCACCTGTTCCAGTGCCAGGGGACCAGAAATCGAATATTCTCCCTCCTACATGGGGCATCTGTGCCATTTGGAAATGGCACCGTCAAAATCAATAAACTGCTCAGGAACTCAATAATGTGCTGGCAGGACCAGCTCAAACTCTGCCCTCTGACGACTAATGCAAAATTCCTTAGAGCTTTGCTTTCTTCCCAGATTTGTCCTCCCTTGGGAAGCTGGGTATGGGTTCAACTGAAAGGATTTGAGGCTGTGGACCTCCAAATATTTTTAGCGGCAAAAACGCTCCAGCACACACCGGCAGGGGGCCGGGGAAGGCTCCACAGACGAGAAGTATGGGTGGGCGAGGGCAGCCTTGGCTGAGATCCGCTGGCTGGGGTCGTACTGCAGAAGTTGCTGAGAAGGAAGGAGGAGGAAGAGGCTGGGTCGAGGGTGCAGCCCCAGAACAGCCCTTCTCAAACCCAGGCCTCTACAAAGCCACTGCCCCCCAGCTCTCAATGGCATTCTCAGGCCGGGCATGGTGGTGCACGCCTATAATCCCAGCACTCAGGAGGCTGAGGCAGGTGGATCGTCGTGAGTTTGAGACCAGCCTGGGCTACAAAGTGAGCTCAAGGCCAGCCTGAAATAAATAGCGAGACCCTATCTCAAAAAGAGGAAAAAAAAAAAAAAGGCTCCCTCAGGATCTGTGTACAAAGGGTTCCTTCCAGTCCAGTTCTATGAGTCACCCAAATCTCCTTCAGGCTGCTGAAGCCTAGTTGGTCCCCTTTTGCACTGAGGGTTCCGGGCCCAGCCTGCCTCCCACATCCGTAAGCTGCCCCTAAACCTGTCCAGGTAGCACGCCTGAGGTGAGCGGGAATCCAAAGAGCAGGGAGAGAGGGAAGGAGTAGCTAACACGAAAAGAGGCCCTGCTTTCTGCCCTCAAGACCCTAACCCAGGCAGGATGTGGAAGCGCCTGCTGGCAGGGCATGTCCAGGATGGGGTGAGGAGCTTCGGCTGGAAGCCTGTGCTGTCCTGTAGGCACTGGGATGGTAAACAACACCCGCAGACTCTGGAGAGCTGGACACACAGCCTGAAGATGGAAACCCTGCCCTGCCTCTGCCCTGACACCACAGTAAAGACAAATGGGGCGCTGAGGCTTTGTAGACAAGCACAGAAGGCTCTGCTTGAAGCACTTCCCTGGGGTCCGGCCGTGGCCAGCCTAAGGGTCAGACAGCGCCACAGGAAGAGTGAGCAAGCAGAGCGGCAGCAGGGGACAGCCTGTGCTAAGCAGCCCTGTCTGAAGACCAACATAGTAGAAGGCACTACGCAGCAGGAAGGAAGCTTCACCTACAATAAGGTGATGAAGTCCACAGGGAAGTAATAAAAAACACAACGTGGAGCCAGGCATGGTGGCACACGCCTGTAATCACAGCAGCGGAAAGGCTGAGGCAGGAGGATCAAGAGTTGAAGGTCAGCCTGGGTGGCATAGCAAGTTTTGAGGCTGGCCTAGGTATGTAGTGAGACCCTGCCTCAAGGGGAAAAAAAAAAAAAGAAAAAGAAAAAAGAAAGGGAAGGAGGGAGAGTAAAGAAAAAAGAAAAAGAACATAAACCAGAAGGTGGAAAAAAAAAAAAAAAATCCCAGAAGGTGAGAGGTACTCTGCAGTGGAGCACTTGCCTAGTATATTTGAGGCCCTGGGTTTGAACCCCTCCACCATAAAACAAACAAAAACCATGGATGGCAACTAGGCAAAAGGGCAAATGGCATGGGATAAAAACAAAGCTAAACAAGCTAGCTGGTGGAACACACCTGAAATCACAGCACTCTGGGAGGCTGAGGCAGGAGGGTCACAAAGTCAAGCCCAGCCTAGGCAAGTCAGCTAGACCCTGTCTCAAATTTAAAAATTTAAAAAGGGCTGGGGATGTAGCTCAGTTAAAAGGCCCTGAGTTTGTCCCCAGTACTACAAAAAACCAAAAGAAAGCTAACCAGCTGAGTGTTTTCAAACAGAAAATGAACATTGGACTTATTACACAAGAGGTTTCCAGGTTGAACAATCAATACACAGAGGCAAGCCAGGTGTGTACAAGGGTCAGGCAGGAGACAGCTTGAGTCAGAAAGAGGGGGGGTTACATAAGAGGCTGCTGACAAAGGGGACAGCAGCCACTGGAGCCAGGAGGCTTTTCTTGTCCACTTGTACCTACCATGAGCAGGTCTTTGCCCTCTGACTCCAGATTGGGCACAATCTCCTCCAGCCCTTTTCTGGTCCACTTGGGGAAGGTGCCCTTATAGTCAGGCAGCTGAGTGACTCCTGGCCAGGTGTCTTCACTGGGTGTCCCCAGGGTTCGAAAGATACGAAAGAGCTGATCAATCTCAGAATCACCCGGAAACAGGGCTTTGCGAGTCACCTGAAACAGGGGGAAGAGACTTTGGGACACAGAATGAGTGGCCTGGAGGGAGGGAAAAGAGGGGCCTTCAAGATATCTTTCCCAGCGGCCGGGCGTGGTGGTGCACGCCTGTAATCCCAGCACTTGGGAGGCTGAGGCAGGAGGATCACTGTGAGCTCAAGGCCAGCCTGAACTGCATAGTGAGACCCTGTCTCAAAAAGACAAAAAAAAAAAAAGATATCTTTCTCAGGACTGTGCTAAGAATTCTAGATTTTTTTTTTTCTGGTACTGAGGAATAAACCCAGGGCCTTTGCACTGAACTACATCCCAACCCCTTTTTGTATATTTTTATTTTGGGACAAGGTTTGGCTACATTGCTAAAGTTGCCCAGATTGGGCTCAAACTTGTGATCCTCCTGTCTCAGCCTTCTAAGTGCAGGGACGATGGGTGTGCGCACTGCCATTTCTGTAATAAGGCTGACTTCCCCAGTCCCAGATACCCCTCAAGTCACCTCTAACAGAAGCATTAGTGAGCTCCAGCACCCTAGTAAAAAGACCCTGCCCCTGGCCTCCCTGGGGCCACGCCTGTCCCTTTGTCTACCATCTCTGCAAAGATGCAACCAATGCTCCAGATATCCACAGCTGTCGAATAAAACTTGGTACCCAAGAGGATCTCGGGGGCACGATACCACAGTGTCACCACCTGTGGGGACCAGAAAGCAGCAGGGTCACTCAGGGCATTTCAGGGTGGCAGAATGAACAGGACTGCTCCTCCAGCCCACAGCACACCTCGTGGGTGTAGGTGCGCAGGGGCACCCCAAAGGCTCGAGCCAGTCCAAAGTCGGCCAGCTTGATGTCTCCCAGCTCATTGATGAGCAGATTCTGGGGCTTCAGGTCTCGGTGGATGACCCGATGAGAGTGGCAGAAGTTCACGCCCTGCAGGAGCTGGAAGAGGTAGCTCTGCAGAAACGAGCAGAAGGCGAGGACTTGGGGGCAGGCGGCTGGCGGAAGTGGTCGGGGGGCGCCCTGCCCTCCCACCCTTCCCCCGAACCTTGACTAAGCGCAGGGGGAGCTGCGAGGCCGGGGTGGAGTCCATGTACTTTTTCAGGTCCTGGCTGAGGAACTCAAACACGAGGTACAGCTTCTTCTCACTGTGCACGACATCCAGCAGCCTGACGGGGAGATGCCAATCGGGAGGGGCCCCAGCTGTACCCCGGGACCGACGTAACTCCCCCACCCGGCCTGGCTCCCCCTCCCGCTTCTGCAGCTCACCTGACGATGTTGGGGTGTTTCAGTTCTTTGAGCAGGGAGATCTCCCTGATGGCAGTGCTGGGGACGCCCTCAGTCTCCCTGCAGGAAAAGAGTCACTGCAGGAACAGGCATGGTCAGGAGCCACGTCTGCCTGCCTCATTCCCACGTGGATGTGCTGTTCCCCAAGACGGGGAGCTGTGCGCCTTGGCACGTAATTCTCACCCACCCCGCTCACAGAGCGGGACCCATGCTGAGATGGCTTGGGGTGCAGAGAGGTGACGTAAGGAGAGGGAGGGGCTGCACCTTTGCGGCCACCCCGGTGCCTAGGCAGCACCTGGCAAGGCGGCTGAGTGCAACCCGAGACGAGGGGTGAATGGGGAGTTTCAGGCCGTGGGTCACCCTGGGGGTGCAGGGGCATCTACACCCCCAGCACTCACAAATCCAGCCGGATCTTCTTGAGGGCCACCAGCTGCCCGCTGTCCTTTTTCTTGGCCTTATACACCACCCCATAGGTGCCTTCCCCAATCTTCTCTACTTTCTGGAACACGTCCATGTCCGCAGAGCTGCCCAGGAAACAGGTGGGGCCCGGGGCATTCGTGCCTCACACACAGCATCCTTGCTGCCCGGTTCCAGCCTCCGTGTGACACCCTGCCCGGCCCCTGCCCAGGCTGCCCGGCTCCCTGCCCCTCCTGCCTGCACCCCATCCTCTGGGGAACCTGGCTCAAAGCCAGGGCTGCCCCTTGCCCAGTCCAGCCCCACCCGGCCCTAGGCCTCTTGCCCAGTGCTTGGCTACGGAGTGCAGGAGAGCCCAAACTTCTGCTGAACTCTCACCTCAGCCCAGTCAAGCTCCTGTTCTGGGGCAGAAGCCTTCTCAGAAGGGCTGTCCAGGACTGACAGATAGCACAGGGGTCAGGGGTCAGGAAGGGCTTCTAAAGCCACAGTCCCACCACAGACCACATGGTCAAGGCCCAGGGCCTAAGCTTGGCTACTTTGGCAATCCTCAGCCTCTTCTGAGGGAAAAACCTCAGCTGGGCAGCTACCCTGAGTCCCTGGCCCCCCACCAAGCCCCTGGGTACCCAGCACTCTCCCCTCAGACTCCCAGGATAGGATTCACCAGAAATGCTGGGCCGGAAGCAGCCTCTCGGCCAGACGGGCTGCCTGCCCCACAGCTCCCCCTCCTGGGCCCTGGCGGCGCTGCACCACACGTACACAAGATGGAGTCTGCTGCAGGCCTTTATTCTCCAGCACCTTCTGGAACCCTCCGTGACCCCTCCAGAGGCACAGCCCGGGGGTTCTGGAGCTGGGCTGCCTGTAGCCTCCCTGTGTGTGGTGGTGACACCAGCTCTCTGGGCTCTCATTTCTGGCCCAATCCCAAATTAGGGGAAGAGGCTGTATTAATCGTCTGCCCCCTCTACTCTCTGGCTCCAGACAAATGGCTGTCACTCAGGGAAGTGGCCACACTCTGCAGGAGGTCAGCAGCTCCGGGGCTTTGGCCTCAGGAGCAGGTGGGGGGGATGCTTGGTGCTGCTGTTTCCTATTGGCTGCTATTCCCCCGCTCTTGCTGGTACAGCCTCTGCTCCCGGATGGCTTGTTCTAACGTGTATAGATTCATCCCCTCCACACAGGTCAGCACTCGGGCCTTCACCACGGAGCCTCCATCTGAAAGACACAAACACCAGGCATTTGTGTGTGGTGGCAGACACCTGTGATCCCAGCTTTGGGAGGCTGAGGCAGGAGGAGCACCATGAGTTTGAGAGGCCAGCCTGAGCTTCATACTGAGACCTTGTCTCAAAAGAAAAAAAAAAAAACACACACACACAATGGAAGACACAAACATCACTGCACCAGCAGTAACAAATCCACAGGAATGTTAGCAGCACACTCTACCGATGCTTCTGGCTGTTTCCCTGACAACTTCAGGCTTGAGTTTTAACAGCCAGCAGTAGAGGCAAGAAAGATGAGACGCTGGCAGTTTGTTTTCTTGGGCCTCAGAACTGTGACTCGACCTGCCACACGCTGCAGCACAGGTTTGGAATTTAGGGGACAGCCTGAAAATTCCACTTCTCCAGGGAGGGGCTCTCTACTTCCTGTCTTTGCCACCTTCATTCCTCTGCCTCAGGCCCAAGTGCCCAGACTGAGGAGGGGTCTCATCACCATCCTAGCTCTGTGTTCCAAGGGAAGGGCTTCTTAGGACCCTGACACTGGAAATTGGGGCAAAGAGGAACCTTTATTCATTGGTTGACTGAGACAGGGTCTCACTATGTAGGTCAGGCTGGCCTTGAACTCACTGTATCCCAGGCTGGCCTCAAACCTGTGGGAATCCTCCTGCCTCAGCTTTTGGAGTGTTGGGATTACAGGCATGCGCCATTGTGACTGGCTTTGACATTTCGTAAATCTAAAGCACTGAGCTCCAAGCAAATTTGGCTCTGTGGGGAAAGTCACCCCACCCTTGATGAGGGGCTTGGTAGAGTCCCTAGCACATGGAGTGATGACCTGATTTATAATGTCAACCTCCGGGGGACTTAAAACAGGAAGGTCATCTTCCAATAGACAAGACTCTTCCCCCCACTTGTGTGCTCTTTGGGCATTTCAATGAATATACCCAATGCCCAAGGGACACTGTCCTGTCATCTTCTTAAGCAGTTTTGAGATAGAGGTGCTCTGGTTAGATAACGCCAGTCTAGCAGGTTAGCTTCCTGCTAGTCTAGGCCATTTAGCAATTTAACATAGCCTGAAGTAGAATTCAGAGCATCAGAACATTAGTGACGGCATGGTTTAGAGAGGAGTGAGTGTGTGACAACATCTGGATCTGCTTACGGTAGGTTGTCATTGTTATCACTCAGGCCCCTCCTGGACAGCCATTATCTGATCAATCAAATGGTATTTTTTGCCTAATCTCCACTTTGCCCTGAGAGGCTTGGGCCTCTGGGAAACACAGCCCTGAAGGGTGGTTTTTTTCTGTCTTTTTGAGACAAGGTGTCCTATGGAGTTCAGACTGGCCTTGAGCTCACTTTGTAGCCCAGGCTGGTCTCAAACTCGCAAGGATCCTCCTGCCTCAGCCTCCCAAGTGTTGGGATTACAGGCATGCGCCACCACGCCTGGCTTTTTTTTTCCCTGTCTTTTTGAGACAAGGTCTGGCTATGAAGTTCAGAGCTGAAGGGTTTTAACACCGCCCCCAACTAATACTGACTCATTTGTTTCCTTTTGGGTGGGGTGGGGTGAGGAGAGACAATGAAACTTTTTTTTTTTTTTGGTCTTTTTGAGACAGAGTCTCGATATGCAGTTCAGGCTGGCCTTGAGCTCACTTTGTAGCCCAGGCTGGCCTTGAACTAGCAATGATCCTCCTGCCTCAGCCTCCCAAGTGCTGGGATTACAGCCGTGCACACCACTACACTTGGCGAGATATCTTAAACTTGCTTTAATTCTCAGTGCCTTCATTCATAAATTGTACTTAAAAGTCTAAAATTCTTGCTGGATGTGGTGGCACACACCTGTAAATCCTAGCACTCCAGAGGTTGAGGCAGGCAGATCATTGCAAGTTTGATTTTTCTCCGGTACCAGGAATCGAACTCACGACCTTGCGCTTGCCAGGCAGACGCTGTGCCACTGAGCTAAATCCCCGGCCCTCATTGCAAGTTTGAGACCAGCCTCGGCTACAAAGTGAGCTCAAGACCCACCTGAACTGCATAATGAAACCCTGTCTCAAAAAGACAAAAAACAAAACAAAACAAACGTCTCTCTTTTTTTTTTTTGGTACCAGGAATTGAACTCAGGACCTTGTGCTTGACAAGCAGGCGGCAAGCACCACTGAGCTAAGTCCCTGGCCCTCCCAAAACAAAGAATCCCCATTCTTAAAAATAGAAACAGGGCTTGGGATTTACCTCAGCGGCACAGTGCCTGCCTGGGAAGCACGAGGTGGTGAGTTTGATTCCCGGTACCAGAAAAAAAAAAAACCCAGTACCGAAAAATAAAAATGGAAACAAAGGGCCAGGGATATAGCTCAGCAGCACAACACTTGCCTGGCAAGCCTGAGGTCATGAGTTCGATTCCTGGAACCCAAAAAAAATTAAAATAAAATAAAAATGGAAATAAAGCTTTTGTAAACGTGGAGGAGAGGAGGGGTTGAAGGGTAGGTAGGAGAATGGGGGAAAAAATCAAGTTATATCATGTACAGTTACAAATTCTCTGCGATG